AGCTGATGTCATGATGCGGGCACAGACTAGCCTGACAGACTTTATCGGCTCTGGTTGCACCTCTTGGGAAGTCCCCTCTTTTCCAATATAGTCGTTGGTCTAAATTTCCCCGAGGCCGAGCCCCGATAATTGTCAAAGGCGAAACCCGACCCCAGTCTCGAGCCTTGGGAAGCATGTTTGCGGGGCATCAAAATGACGAGGAAATTGGTCCCTCCAATTTCACCGTGCACAACTGCCTATTTATCTCCCTGCACCCTATTCATGCACCCTCAATAAGATCTCCATGTGTTCCTATTCCCCTTTTCACCCCTGTGTGCAAACATGTTTGCTAAAGTGTCTGTGGAACTGAACCTTTTATGATCTATTTATTGTCTACTGAATTTGCTCTCCTTTGAACTGTTTTCAAATGTGTTCTTCTAAAACTGGTTTCATTACTAGCATTTTTTCTTAAAACTGGTCTATTACAGAAGATCTTTTACTCCTAAGAGTTTATCTCCATAGTGTTTTCACTAAGTTTTTTCAATTACTCTCACTTACTCTTAGATTATTAAGTCTTCCCCTCTGGTATGTGTAATGCCTAAAGATCCTTGAGATCTCTCTGAACTCTGGAATATCAGGGCTGACTCTTATACATTGCACATAATAAGTCTTCATTTGAGAAAAGTCTGGGTTTGAGCACTTCTCGGGATCCTTGAGGTCCTTAGAGAACTCTGACATACCTGGACATGAATTGGGCTATGAAATCCTTAGCATTTGAGACTACTAAAGGCCTGGTACACCAGGATTTGCTTTGGGACTACTTCAGGCTCCCTATAGCTTAATTTATATTTTTATTTATGTAATTTTTATTCAATCATTGGTCTGTAATAATTAATTATAAACAGATATTGGGGTGACTAGTGAAAAGGGAGGGTAGTTGTATGGTACTATGGGTAGCTGAGTAGATAACATGCCTATAGGTGTTTGATTTATACTATTATATGTTAGATCACCTGGCTATGGCTTTACTTCATTCAAAAGCACTCTGCTACTGCATATTTGAAAACTTGCCTAGATGTTTACTCTAATCACTATTCTGTGCTATATAACATGCCTATAGGGTTTACTTTGGCTCAAATGCTCTTTGTTAGATAACCTGCCTATAGGGTTTGCTTTGGTTGAAATAAGTTATACCTAATTTTCTTTACATGATTAGACGCCATGCCTATAGGGAATAAAATAACTAAGGTTCAACTTTCATTACAGCATATATTCAAATCGATCTCTTTAGAAATCATACATGCAGGTTTAATTGGTTGTCACACTTGCTCATTCAGTATGCGTGTCTAATAAGAACTAATAGCATTTTCACTCATTAGAGATAGAACTCATGTCCATAGGGTAATCATCATATGCATCAAGTACTAAAACTAGAACTTCATACAGTGTCTTGTTAAATGTCACTAGAAAGCATGCCTATAGGACAAAAGAACTTCAAACTATTTCCCAAAATTGTGACTGCATATACATACTTAGGCAAGCCTTAGGACGTTAAATAATTGTGAAATCAGTCCTGTTTATGTGTGAAATTATCCAGGCTTAACAGGCTATAAAACTAGTAGGCAACTGGTTAGGATTCTACCACTTCTCTTAAAACAAACGATGCATGTTCTATTTCGTGATTGTTCATCAAGATATCATGTTCCTAGGCTTTTTGAACTTATTAAAAATCAGTTATTTGAGATGTGCTGCCTATTTACTTATGTACATTCAGAGGAAAACATGAACCTCAACTGCCTCTCCCTATTTGATTGTCCTATATGTTCTTTGCAAGTCGCCTAGAGTTTCTCTTTTAAATACATTAGGCTGTCTAGAACTGCCCAGATTTAAAGGTCCTAAAGTCCTCCAGGACCACAAGGAAGGGACGGGTAGAAGCACGCTTAGAGGTCATTAATGAAACTCGCTTATATAACCACTAAGGGGAGGGTAATGGGTAGTAAAAGGATATGATGACTTGCGCACTAATATCATGTGTAGCCCCTCTAGTTGAGGAGGATTACCGGGCATTGCACAGATTGATCATGTAGGCTAATCAACTTAGGACTTCCCTTTCCCAATTCCTATATGTGTTTAAATCATCTAAACTTTCCTTTCTTGACATATACATGTGTAAGTTGTCCAAACCTCTCTCTTACTTTCATTATCTGAATCATACATGTATTTATAATGTGAAAATATGTCTTTATTTGCAAATATGTGTTAAAACTGTTTACTTGTTAAAATGACTAATTCACATAGTTTAAGTTTGGCTGGGACCCACCGTTGTGGACCGCGAGGGGTGCCTAACACCTTCCCCTCAAGGTTATTTCGAGCTCTTACCCTAATCTCTGGTAATGCAAACTAGTTACGCGAGTTAATTACTCTAGGTACCATAACGCACCATAATCCGTTAGGTGGCGACGCTTCAAATACCCAATTCCCAAAAAGAAACGAGTTATTCCCCATGAATGTCAAAACCCGAACTCCGTGAGGAAAAAGGGGGCACGATAACATGGTGACTCTGATGGGGGATATTTTAGGCTCTTACCATAACGAACTTATTTTTGTGAATTAGTCCAGCATGCTCTATCTCATGTACCCTTTCCCCTTATTTGAATTTAACTACATATTTTCAAGCATTTATGATTTTTTTATTTTCCTGAAACTGACTTGTCTCTTTGTTTTCTTTTTTTCGTAACTGTCTTTTAATTATTTAAATATTGCATTTATCATTTTTTACATGTAAATACTTGAGAACATGCTATTTATTGTTGCATAAATCACGCTCAACATCATATTCCACTCATGCATAATCAATCCTATAGCAATACTTGATGAGTGTTTCCGCTCTTCCTATATATCATCCTTTAAATTCGGAAATGCGCATTTGCGGTAAAACTAGTCGATCAGCGGTGTGTTCGACGGTTCCATACCTTTCCCCCTCAAGTTGTCCACTTGAAGGTCCCAGTCTAGACCTCTAAATTAGCCTTACTCTGATTAATTGTACATGCATCATGGTCAGACCTAGCCGGCTTAATATGTTGTCCGCATAATAACCTTTTAAGACAAGCCTCGTCCAAAAGTCCATCGGGTTTTCCACAATCCCAACGGATGTAACCATGATTATGTGCATTAATTTGGAGAAATAAGTGCCAATATGCTAATCATTACTGTATAAATATATGAACCTGGAGAGGGAAAGCGTCTAACTATCTCTTGTTTTGTAGAAAATGAGGCACGAAGTCCCCAGGTTTGATATGGTCGGTAGTATTCCTCCACTTTACATAGATTGGTGGAGGGATCTTCCCTCAAGTGACCAAAATCATGTAAAAAGAGTCTTGGGTAATTTGCCATCACTGTTGGATCTTCAACCAAATAAGCTGCTAATCGAGGTTGCCACTCTATTTAGGGATAAGGAAAGGGTTGTATTCCATTTTGGAGACATAGAAATTACTCCCCTTCTAGAAGTAATAGAGGGATTTGTTGGGTTACCTTGGGATAACCCTGGTCTGTTGGGACCTGAAAATCGCACAACCAGAGGGTTCTTTAAGATGATAGGGCTGAAGAAAAATGATGATTTGGAGTGCCTAAAAAACTCCTACATACCTTTTGATTTCCTTTATGAAAGGTACGGTCATAGTAGCTTTTACCGTATTTTTTATGATGAGTGCTCAATCATTTCTTTGGGCTGAGTTCATCGTAGGGTCTTCGTGTTCATTATGTGCTTCTAGGGTATCACACCTCCTTTTTACCACCCGAAGGGTATATAAGGGAGTATTTCCAATTAAAGTGATATTATTCGAGATGGGATTAATTAATTTATCACAGTCGCCACTTGGAATAAATTATTTGGTGTCCCAAGTCACCGATTTATTTTAAATCCCAAACCGAGGAAGTTTTCGACTTTATTTAAAAGTATGCGAACCAAAAATTCTAAATAAGGAATTCTGTTAACCCGGGAGAAGGTATTAGGCATTTCCGGGTTCCGTGGTTGTAGCATGATCGCTTAGCAATTTATACTTGGCTTAAGTTGTCTAATTACTTATTTTTAGAACCTATGTGCATTTACCTTTTACTGCTTTTAATCACTTGAATTATGCGTAATTAAAGAATTGAGTTACGCTTACGTATACTCTTTTCTTTTGGCCTGTCAAAATCATGTCATGCGTATGTGTCCACAATCAATAACGTTTTGTTTATTTTATTAAGAAATGTTTAGTTGAGGTTGCGCGAATGCATCCCTTGAGTTACTTTTTAGAAATCATAATCATGTCATGCGAACGTGTCCACAACAATGATAGTATATTAAACGTGCCTAAAGCAAGCTACGAATATCATTCTTAATATCCAAGTCGTAAGATTAATATGAGGGTCATGAATGATTAAATTGTGGATGGCACACCTCGGACTAAAGAACTACATTTAATCTAGCGGTTATCAAAAACAAATTTATTATTAAGGAGGTTTGATCGAATTTACGTGAACACATACTCCGAATCGATTTTTAGAATCGTAATTATGTCACGCGAACGTGTACACAATCACAATAATATTTTAAACGCGCCTAAAGGCTTTTCTACGATGTTCATATCAGATTGTCATAAAGCCATGATTTATATAAATGGAACTGTCACATAGGAAGTTATGCAATATTATTAAAGCTATTAGAAAGGGTTTGAGACAATTGAAGCTATTTAACTAATATCCTCAAATCACAATAAGGCAATCCAGTACGTGATCCAATAAGCATGCCAAAATTCTCAATACTTTGAAATAACCTCTGATGAATTATCTATGAAGGAAAACACGTCATTATTAACCTTGTTTATATTTTCAACCACAAATAATAGTAAAGATATAAGTTGGGTGGGTATCAAGTGTGTAATGTTAGTGGTAATGTTTACAACTTTTAGCTCAAATACTATGGTCCCTCTATTATTAACTGATTAAAAAAATCATTCACTTAAATTCTATGACTAATCTAAAGAGCACAATTAAACTATCATAAATAATAAGGAGAAAAAAATGGTGGATCAACACATATAACATTCACAAATTGAGACAAACACGAGATTTTGCAATATCGACAGTAAAACAACGGAAAAGGATGGACCTTGATTTGCTGAAAATTTCCCGACGGGTATAGTAATGGAAGCTCCAAACAATGAATCTTGAGCGAGCTATTGGACAGAACTCGAACCGGAAACCTCTATCGGCAACTTCAGACTCGCGGCGAGCTCAAACTACACTCAAATTTAATCAAATTCCATTTTTTGAAAAATATAAAGAAATCAAAAAGAAAAAACAGAGGTGTACTATTCTTGTATTTTTTCAATTATTGAAGTATAGAAAAACCTTGTATTTTGCAAATCGGAATCCGATCATTGAACTAATATTCTTCAATCTAACGAGAAACACAACTCCATTTAACATTCACCGACACAGCTGAATCGACTGAAATCGAAGATCAAAGTTTTGGGGTGGGGTCGTGATTTTCGGTTACTGCGGTCGTTCCTCTTATTTAGCTTAGGGATCTTCCCTTTTTGGTTTTTCTTTGATTTTGTGAAGAAGACCCATGGAGGATCGTTGTTGCTTAGGTCTTAAGCTTCTTTTTTTCTGTATTTTTTAGCTCATCTCCTTTAAGTATTGCGGCTGATCTCTATATAGTTTAGGGTTTAGCTTCTTTTATAGGTTTAGGTTTTTAGGGTTATATTTAGGTTAAGGGGTATGGGCCTAAGAATTATGGGCTTAAAAATTATGGGTTAGGTCCAAAATTAGGCTTAAAAATGGGTTGCTCGAGCCCAAGTTTTATTCTTTCTTTTCGGTGAACAAGACTAAAATACTACCTTATTTATTAATTAATTTTACTTAAATAAAATAACTATTAAAATAAGACTGACCGTTAAAACAAAACTATTTTTGGTATTTTTCAAGATTAAAAATGACTACAAAACATTAATGAAACTATTTTTTTTGTAATTTTTATTTTTCTTGTAATAAAATAAAGTAAAAAGGTCAAAAATTAGTTAAATAGCGATATTAGACCTAAATTAAATATTTATATGCTAAAATATAAAAATCTTGGGTAGGGTCAAAAATCACATGTCTACAGCTGCCCCTCTTTAACTGGGAATACGAAGAGTTTTCAGACAAAGAATGACTAGACAGGTTTTTTTGACCCGACCCTTATTTAGACAGACCAAAAGCTAAAAGAAATGAGAATGTGACCGAGCCCTGGTATTTGAGCTGCCTACATATCCTTGGCTATAAAGGAATCAGGCCACGTGTAGTTCAGAAGTGAGTTAGATGATGGAGTATACCGAGGTAGAGAGCCGATTGAGGTGCCGTCGAGGTTCCAGTCTGCAGTCCCCTTATTACATCAAAATCAAAAATGAAAAGACCAACTAAGCCTATCAGCTATGAGTTACAAGATTCCGATCTATGAGTCTTCTGAAGCTTGATCTTGAGTCTTGGTTGGTTCTTCATGCGGACTCTGATCTGAATCTTGATGCTTGTTAGCTGCAGGTGTTGGTTCAATCTTCTTCAGCTTTTTCAAATCAAGACGGGACATGCAGAGCTTGTGACTTCAGCCATGTCTTGAGCAGCCTACATCTTTCATCAATTTTTGCACTTTGAGTTTACTTCTTTTTCTTTTCTTCTTTTTTCTTTTATTCTAGATTGAGACTACTTCTTTGGGTCGTCTCGAACCCTGTGCCTCGAGGTAAAACCTACTCGGATACCAAAACAAATAAGCGAACGAATTTTTTCTGCCCCAGTTTTCACTAGGAAAATTTCATGAGTTATTGTAACAAAATTCTAAACTACTTCTTTATTGAAAGTAATAAAAGTCAGGATTGTGTATCCTTGGGAAAAAAAGATTAGAGAATGGAGACCCTATATCTAAAATGAAGCAACTAGGGAGTGGAGACCCTATGTTGGAAAAACGACTAGGGAGTGGAGACCCTATGTCTAAAATAAAATCAACTAGGGAATGGAGATTCTATGTTGGAAAGATTACCAGGTTATGCTGGCATCAACTAGGGAGTGAGACTCTATGCTGGAAAAGATTACTGACTTGTGTACCTATGCTAAAATAAATCAAGAAAGATTTTTTTTTCTTTTTTTTTTTTGAAAAAACAACATTTTTTTGAGAAAATCAATCTTTTGAACAAATATCCCCAACGCCTCTTTTTTTCAAATTATCCTAGGAGAAAATTCATCAGACTAGGTTTTCTATCTTAGGAGAAAGATTCATCAGACTAAGATTTTGATGCTAGGAGAAAGTTCATCAGACTAGGTCTCTTTTGTTATCTTAGGAGAAAAATTATTCAGACTAAGATTTTGATCCCATGAGAAAATTTATTAGACTAGGTTTTCTATCTTAGGAGAAAGATTCATCAAACTAAGATGTTTATCCTAGGAGAAAGATTCATCACACTAGGTTTTCTATCTTAGGAGAAAGATTCATCAAACTAAGATGTTTATCCTAGGAGAAAGATTCATCACACTAGGTTTTCTATCTTAGGAGAAAGATTCATCAGACTAAGATTCCAATCCTACGAGAAAATTCATCAGACTAGGTCCTTTTTTGTTATCTTAGGAGAAAGATTCATCAGACTAAGATTTCTATCCTAGGAGAAAGTTCATCAGACTAGGGTTTTCTTACCTTAGGAGAAATATTCATCATACTAAGACATTTATCCTAGAAGAAAATTCATCAGACTAGGTCCATTTTTTGTTATCTTAGGAGAAAGATTCATCAAACTATGATTTTGATAATAGGAGAAAATTCATCACACTAGATTTTTTATCTTACGAGAAAGATTCATCAGACTAAGATTTTGATCCTAGGGGAAAGTTCATCAGACTACGTCTTTTTTGTTATCTTAGGAGAAAAATATCAGACTAAGATTTTGATTCTAGGAGAAAATTCATCAGACTAGGTCCACTTTTGTTATCTTAAGAGAAAGATTCATCAGACTAAGATTTCTATCCTAGGAGGAAGTTCATCAGACTAGGGTTTTCTTATCTTAGGAGAAATATTCACCAGACTAAGACTTTTATCCTAGGAGAAAATTCACCAGACTAAGTCCATTTTTTGTTATCTTAGGAGAAAGATTCATCAGAGTAAAATTTTTATTGGGAGGAAAATCCATCAGACCAGGACTTTTTATCCTAGGAGGCAAAATGTGAAGATCAATTGCAGGATTTTATACACAATAGCAAGACAAATAAAGGTGAAGATTTGAGAAACTTCCCTTTGTCGGCTCTTCTCTTCTTCTCTTTTCTCTTTTTTTTGTTTTTTTTTCTTTTTTTCCCCATTTTTTAACCACTTTCCTTGCATTGCTTTGTTCCTGTTTCACACAAAGAAAAATTTGTCAGTTTTAAAAATGGTGGTCGGTTTGTGGCCTTGAATCTTGGGCAGTTTGGCTTCTGTTCAATCAACTTGAGTCGGTTTCAAGAGACTTTTTCTCTACATCATCCCTAATTGTTTCACACCCAGTACCATTTGTATTTGTGGCTCAATCAGCCTTATCCCAACTGGAGATCTTTTCTTAGGTGACCTTTACTGATATCTTGAATGACTTCGTGCTTTTTGAGCAATTTGTCTATTAGAGAGAATCACCAGTTATCTTTGCTTGTGCCAAGTAGGCTGACAAGAGTTTTTTGGGGAAGCCTTTGAACGAATCCTCAAAGCATGTTGGTAGTAACAACTGAGTGTGCTGGCCAAATTTACTTTATCCAACTGAAAAGCTAGTAGCAAATTTTGAAATCTTTTCTTGCTTGTTTTGAGAAGGACTGACTCAAAGTGAAGGACACAATGATGCAAAGAAACAAGTATCAATAAGAAATGCCCCTGTCGGAAGGACAGAAGGAAGAGTTTTTTTTTTCTTTTTTTTTTCTTTTTTTTCAATAACTAGCCTTAATGATCATGACATGCATTTTGGACATAACGGCCTGATCTATCCAACTAATCCAATTTTCCCTTTTACCCTTCTTATGGCCTTCGAAGTCGGGCTTGTTCGTGCCAATCCTTTACATTAGCTTCATGACTCACTTTCGACTAGTGGTTCCCCGAGGGGTTTTCACCAACAAGTCTCTCTCATTTATTTATCTCTGCTTACCGTCGCCTTATAGTGCCCGTGAGGGTTTTCACTAGTAATACTCTCTCATCTTTTTTTTCTATTTCTCTTTTGAGCAGCTCGACAATGTTCTATGTCGTGTGACAACTGTTGCTCATTGCATGCGTCTCTTGACATTCTTGAAGGCTCATCGGGAGGTCTTATTTGGAAGGTTTTTGTATAGGATTGGAAAGAAAAGTTGGCATGAAGGCTCAAAGTAGACTCAAAATGATGGGGTTGTAGACTTACAACTCTTAGAATCGACTCTTTCAAAAAATAAAATCTTTGCCCCAGTTTCAACTATTGGGGATTTTGGAATTTTTTTCTTTAATTCTTATTTGGTTGGACCGAACCGTGAGGCTGCCTAGGTATCCTTATTTTTTAAGGAATCAGATCGAACATAGTTCAAACATCTAACCTAACTATTTTTTTCATCTTTCTTTCTATTTTTTTCTATATTTTTTCTCAAAACAAGTTGCTCCGGCTTCTGTTTTCTGGGGGCATGGACCTTTGCCAGTTCTTTTCTTCTTCATTTGTTTTCACTTGAAATTTCTAAGAATTGCCCCAATTTGTACTTTTGGGACATGGACTTTTTTTTCTTTTTCTTTTTTTTTCATTTTTTGACTCTTGAATCTTAACTTGATTCCAAAAGAGGGTGGTCAAAGAAAATAACACAGGCTCAAAGAGGTAACAAAGGGTATAAAGTATTTGGGTAGTAGAAAAAGGGCATCCCAACCTCGAGAACGCCGAACATAGTATCTTTTCGTCATCACAGCGTTGACGAACATGTTTGTCTTCTTGGTGTGTCATGGTCACAAGACATTTTCCATCCCTTAATGTCAAACTTTCCAACAAACTTCAATTGATTAAACATCCTCAAGCCCGATCTTCACAATGATTTGAAGGTGAATTTTACACGACCTTAATTCCAAAGTATTTCAACTCTTTAATCATCCTCAAAAGTGTTTTTTTTTTCAGTTATCCAATTCCAAATTAAATCAGTTTCTATGATCTAGCCAAAATTTCCGCATGCATGTCATGTAATTAGAACTAGCGAGAAAAGAACTAGGAATAGAATGACACGAAAGGACAAACTATATTTTATTGAGTAAAGGATGAAAGGGTTTGATAACAAGACAAACAACCTAAAATCCGAGTTACAAACCTAAAATAACCCGGATAATGAAAATAGAAACAAAACAGACAGACATGACTCATACAAACAGAATAGAAGGATATAAGGGTTTGACTCAATAAAACAAATAAAATCTGGATCACAACCCTGAAATAACCCAAATAATAGATAAAACATCAAAACAAGCTAACAAGATTGTTTCCTAGTGAGGAGAGAATGAATTTTCAATTGCTAAGCTTGACATTTAGCCACAAATTTGCTAATCAGAATTACCATGGCCTTCTCCAATTTCAGTCGGCAAATTCCCGAGAGGATTCTCATATTCCATGTCACCAGGCATCATCCCCACATAGTGTGCATCATCATGTATAGGTAAAGGATTCTGCGTGATATTCTGGGTGTCATTGTCTTGGAGAACAATCAGTTTTTCCTGGATCATCCTTTCTGTTTCTCTTTCAAATCCCGACAACTTTCAACATTGTGCCACGGGGC